AGCTGGCCTTGTGTTGAGAAGCTGCATTTGGCTTCAGTGAATTGTTTTTGAGGGACTCTTTCATTGTGTTTGCTCATTTCGTGATGAGTGATTTATGTCGGCACCTGACTACACTGAGCTGAATGTTCAGCAGATTTTGACCAAAAATGACCTGACCCCTGTCCCATCCTCCCTATTCACCTGATCTCACCCAAGCAGCTTTTTTTCCCTTGTCTTAGTTAAAAACGTCCTCTACGGGGATTGTTTTGGTGCTGTGGAGGTGGTGAAACAAAAAACGTCAGTAGCCCTTTAAGGCATCAAATCATCGAATTCAAAAACTTTTGAACAGTGGAAAAACGTCTTATAGGGTATTGCATCAAGTGGAGAGTACTTTGAAGGTGACTGAAGTTTAAACATATAAGAATAAATACACGATATTTTTATAAATAAATTCTGTTTTGAGGGGTTTACCCCTCATATACCACGTGTACACTGCATCTTGCTCTCACCATCCAAAGTTGATTCTTCTTCTGTTACCATTCACCCCCTGTTTACCCTCTTCCACCAACCCCCACAACATTTTCCCTCTGGTAATCACCATGCTGTTGTCTGTGTTGATGAATTTTTTTCACTTAATCCATCGCCTGTTTCATCCCAAGCTCCCCACTACTCTGACAGCTGTCAGTCTGTTCCTTGTATCTATAAGTCTGTTTTTATGTTGTTTGTTATTTTATTCATTAGTATCCTATAAGTCCATCTATGCTGTTACAAAGGTGAGATTTCCTTTTTCTTATGATGAGTAGTATTCCTATGTGTAAATGTAGCACAGCTTTTGTATCCACTCATCTACCAATGGGCACTAGGGCCACTTCCAAATCTTGGTTATTATAAAGAGCACTGCAGTGCACATGGGGTGCATATATTCTTTTGAATCAGTTTTTTGGGTTTCTTTGGATACATTTCCAGAGTGGAATTGCTGGGTCACAAGGCAGTCCCATTTTCATTTTTTTTTATGTGGAAATTCCACACTGTTTTCCACAGTGGCTACACCAATCTTCATTCCTGTCAATGGTGCAGGAGTGTTCTCTCCTCCACATCCTCACTAATGCTTGTCATTTGTGTGTTTATGGATGATAGCCATTCTGACAGCTGTGAGACCATAAATATCTTAGAAGAAAATATAGGCAGTAAAATCTTAGACATTTCTCATAGCAATATATATTTTTCTGGTTTATCTCCTCAGGCGAGGGAACAAAAAGAAAAAATAAGCAAATAGGGCTCCATGAAACCAAAAAGTATTTGCATAGAAAAAGAAACCATTAACAACAGGAGGGGGCCAAGATGGAGGTGCAGGCAGAAACATTTCACTTCCTCACACAACCAAAGCAAGGAAAACAACAAATTTGAAAACAAAGAGAAACCAGAACAACCAAGGAGTTGAAGAAACATTCAATCAGGCAGTAGGAGGGGCCCAGATGGGCAGAGATAAGGAGAGGACATTGCAAGGAGGCAGGAAGACTGGGCAGGCAAGGCATGGCTGGTGGACTGCACAGGCAATTCCACATTCACACTCAGAAAGCCTAGGGGAAAGCGAGGGAGCCAGATGGACCACAGAACCTAGGGTTTCAGCATGGGGAAACTAAAGATTCAAAACCACAGTTTGAGGAAAAGATCAGTGGGGATTGTGGCAGTAGAAGAAACTTCCAGCCTCACAGGAGAATATGTTGGAGAGACCCACAGGGCCCTAAAATAAGCACAGACCCAACCACCTGCATATCAGCACCTAAAGGGCACAAACTGCTTGTGAGAAGCGAGGCAAGTGACAGAAAGTGGAACAAGAACAGTGCAAGTGGCATTTTTCCTTCTCTGATCCCTTGCTCATAGACAGTGCCACAACACAGCAAAGAGGATTGCCCAGCCCTGGGGAATACCTAAGGCTCTGCCCTTTACAGGTAACAGGTGCACTGAGATAGAGAAATGTGGCCCAAATGAAAGAACAGATCAAGACACCAGAAAAAGAACTAAGCAACAAGGAGATAGCCAACCTATTTCATGCAGGGTTCAAAACACTGGTAATCAGGAAGCTCACAGAACTGGTTGAGTTCAGTCACAAAATGGAGGAAGAAATGAAGGCTACCCAAAGTGAAATAAAGGAAAATGCAGAGGAATCCAACAGTGGAGGGAAGGAAACTGGAACTCAAATCAACAATATGGAACAAATGGAAACAATAAGCATCCAATCGGAACAGAATGAAGAAGCAAAAATGCAAAATAATGAGGAGAGACTTGGGAGCCTCTGGTACAACTTTAAACATTCCAACATTCAAATTATGGGAGTGCCAGAAGGAGAAAAGGAAAAGCAAGATATTGAAAAATTATTTAAACAAATAATGAAGGAAAACTTCCCCAATCTGGTGAAAGAAATAGACTTCCAGGAAGTCCAGGAAGCCCAGAGAGGCCCAACGAAGTTGGACCCATAGAGGAGCACACCAAGGCACATAATTAAGTTACACAAGATTAAAGATGAGGAGAGAATCTTAAAAGCAGCAAGTGAAAAGGAGACAGTTACCTACTAAGCAGTTCCCATAAGCCTATCGGCTAATTTCACAAAAGAAACCTTATAGGCAAGAAGGGGCTGGAAAGAAGTATTTGAAGTCATGAAGGCAAGGACCTACATCCAAGATTACTCTATCTAGCAAAGCTATCATTTAGAATGGAAAGGCAGGAAAAGTGCTTGTCAGACAAGGTCAAGTTAAAGGAGTCCATCACCACCAAACCCTTTTATATGAAATGTTAAAAGGACTTATCTAGGAAATAGAAGATGATCAAAAACTATGAACAATAAAATGACAAGAAACTGATAATTATCAAGAACTGAACCTAAAAAACAAAAACTAAGCTAACAACTAGAACAGGAACAGAGTCATAGAAATGAAGATCATATGGACAGTTGTCAGTGGGGAAGGAGAAGGGGAGAATGGGGGGGTGTACAGGGAATAAGAAGAATAATTGGTAGGTATAAAATAGACAGGTGTAGGTTAAGAATAGTATAGGAAAGAGAGAAACTGAAGAACTTACATGTACAACTCATGGACTGGAACTAAGGGGGTGAATGCTGGAGGGTGGGGCAGTGCAGGGTGGAGGGGAATAAAAGGAAGAAAAAATTAGGACAACCATAATATCATAATTAATAAAATAAATTTTTAAAAAACCCAGAAGTTTTACATACTAAAAAACATTTTATAGATATACATATATTTATATACTGAGTTGATATTCTTCACCGTAGCTGTCCTTAAATCTTTAAAAGTGTGAGATTTGAGAGATCAGATTTATTCTCTGTAATTCTAGAGGAGCAGAGAGTTCAAATCACAGGAAATGAGCTCCGACTTCTAGAAATGAGGTAGTCTTGGTTTCCTAGAAACCATTTCTCATGATCAATTCCTTAGGGTCAGTTTCTGCTTGTATTATTCTCTGAGCAAACACAGGACATATTTAGGTGTACCTAGATTTATTCTTACATAAAATCAAGATTAAAAAAATCAAGAATTAAAGTGAATGTGAAAGGGTTATTGGTAGAGAAGGATAACTCTGGAAACTCACAGGTCTGAAAGACTTTATCAATGTCTTGAGGAAAGAACACTGTTGTGGAATTTGGGAGAAAAATGATAGATTATGAGATCTGAGACAGTGATGGCCAGGGAGGCAGGAATCCATGCCAGAAGAGATGGCTATTCTGTAGAAAAAATTCCAATATGGATTAGACTCAGTAACTGCATTTTATATTATGCCACCTGTCTTGTTAAGAAAATGAAATCACCTCAAGAATAAACTTATATGTGGTTTTATTTTCTGAATCTGCAGGCTGATGTTTTCACAGAAATTGTACTTTTTCAATACTTTGAGGAATATATGATACAGCATTAGAAAAGATTTCTTAGAGTATATCATATTTCTTACTGCAATTCAACCCAACCCGTGGGTCAAATAGTTTTCTATGGTTGAAATACTAATAGCTCATGGAAGATATCCCCATGCTCCCTTACCATGGATATTTAATTCTTTATTTTTAATAGCAGTCCAGCCTAGGAAGATTCTTAATTTCCACTTTGGTACTATCCATTCTGTGGGAATAGCAAGGTCACAGGCAAGATCAGCTTAGAGGAGCAGAGTTTGACATAGGTGTTTAAAACATCCAATAGTTTTCTCCTTCATACTGACCTTTTACTTACATATTACTTTAAGAAAGAGCTTTGCCTCTTGCGCTGTCTCCATTCTCCTACTGGGAACCTGGCTCACAACACAGGCATGTGCCCTGACTTGGACTCAAGCCAGCAACTGTCTTATTCACAGGCTGGTGCTCAATCCACTGAGCCACACAAACCAGGGCTAGATTCCACATTTAAGTGAAGTCACATGGTATTTGTCTCTCTTTGTATAACTTATTTCACTTAGCATAATACCTGCTAGGTCCACCCATGCTATAGTAAAGGGAAAGTGTTCTTTCCTTTTTATGGCTGAGTAGTAATTCATTCTGGATATGTACAACAGTTTGAAAAGGAAGGTTTTATATTTTCTTTGTTTATGAGAGTAAATCATGGTATTTTCCTGGTTTAAAACAAGTAAACCTTGGCCCTTCTTGAGTAAGTGGCAACAGCATCTGCATATTTCCAAAATATTAAAAATGACTCAGTTGTGTGTAGAGGCATATTGAAGAGATCAGATAAATATTGATCTGTACATTCTTTATTAATCTCTGATCTAAGAGTTAATTTGTTTGATGTTTTGCTGTCTTTCTGTGTCTGAGTCTCTCATAGGCAAAGGGTAAAATAACATTTAGCCAGCAAGTTCAGGAGTTAGAGATGTGACCACAAGGTGGTAGTGCACCTCTGCTGATGCAGAATATGTGGAGGGTTCATTTTAGTGGTTCTGAATGAATAGGCTTTGACAGAAACACAGTCCTGTTCTTATTGGCTGGGGAGAGAACATGAAAACCCCATATTTTCAGATTGTTAGAGGAAAAGAGATAACTTGATAACAGCAGTAACTCCTCTGGCTGTAGCTAGCAGGTCCACAATTGATCTCAATAAGAAGAATGAAGACATCCATTGGAGCATTCCTCATGTTCTTTTGGCTGCAGCTGGACTGTGAGTTGAGGGTTAATGGGAAATAGACTGTATTAGTGGATATTCTTTTAGAAATCAAGCCTGGCTTTATTTGGGTTTCCTTAGTTACTTTAGAAAAAGAACATGCTGCAGTATAATAATCTGCATACTCTTGTCCTTTCTCTGAATATTTCTTGCTGCCTAGGTATCAGCCGAGGAGAAAAAGTGGATCAGCATCCTTCTACCCTGAGTGTCCAGGAGGGAAACATCTCTGTCATCACCTGTTCTTATTCAGACAGTGTCTTAAGCTACTTTCCGTGGTATAAGCAAGAAGCTGGAAATGGTCCCCAGTTCATTATACACATTCGTTCAAATGAGAATGAAAAGCACCATGAAAAACTCACCGTTTTATTGAATAAGACAGCCAGACATTTCTCCCTGCACATCAAAAACACCCAGCCTGGAGACTCAGCTGTGTACTTCTGTGCAGCGAGTACACATTGCCTTCCAAGCACCTGGATCCTGTACACAAACCTGTCTCTTAGTGGAAACTACTGTGTTGTATGTTGAAAACACTTAATAAAAAGGTTAGTTTCAAGGTGACCAAGAAAGTGTTAGAACATTTTGTTGGAAAAACTGCTGCATAATGAATTATTGAAGTCAGTTAGTAATGTTTAATTTTAAAATCTAAGCTTTAATGATTATTTTATATTTACTGTACAAACTCCTGTCCCACTAAAATACCCTTATCATCAGTATCACAATCCTTATTATGGTTGGGTTGTTAATATTGTGCTTTCAAAACAACATTTTTAATTTTTCTATTAAAAATAATGATATGCCAAATGTACAATATATGCAGAGTAAAAAATGTGAAGTTGATAATTTTGTAGTCAGATAATATTGGTAATACCTAAATACATTTTTGTACCTATTTTTATTATAATTAGAATAATAATCCATTCATTGAATTATATATCATGAACTGAGCATTTTCAATTTCATCAATTCTTCTCCTACAAAATCTGCTTTTTAATAGCTCTGACAGATTTTAATAAATTACAGTTTCATATTAATTTTCTTCTTCATTTGTGACAAAATGTGACCATCTTTTCCATGTGGTCTGATCACTTCCTTTTTTTAAAAAATGTGACATTTTTTCCCCAGAGCTCAGTGATGGTATATTATTTGTGTATTTGAGGCAATCAGGATTGGAAGTGACTTGACAATGTGAGCTTCCCATTAAACCCACAAAGCAATTCTCTTTTACCAAATTCTGTACATATTTGTTTACATTTAGTCTCTCATAGAATTTAGAAGACAGAGTTATTATTTACTATTATAGCCTCAGTACCTAGCGCAACCCTTTTCACATGGTCAATAATCGGTAGACATTTGTTAAAGACAGAAAAGTGAATTTTGGTATTTATTCATAATTTTAATTTAAGTTTTGTGATAGAATTAAATCCATAAATTAATTTGTGAATATCAAAACTCCTTATTGTGTATATTTGATTATTTTGTTAATTAAGAATGTATAATTTCTTTTTATGAATACACATCTTTCTTTCTCAATAAAGCTCTGTTATTTGAAGACAATAAAATTTGTTTCTAGACTCGTACTTTTTGTTTCCAGTATGGACTATAGAGGGACATTTTTATAAGTATTTCCCAGCTACCTTACCATTATTAGTGGAATGCACACAGGCATTAGATGAATGGATAATTTACAGATAGCTTGTGACAAATCTCCCTGCCTTGTCTTCATGTTTTGACTGAATGAAGCATTACTAACCACAACCTTTTTAAATTAAATGTGTTATTTCTTTTCATGTTACTAACAAATCAATGTAATGAAAGTATTTGTGTTGGTAATTAATCTCCTAATTCTCCTACACTCGGTCAGTGGTAGGTTATCTTTAAAATTTATATTCTTTCTAAAGATGTTTATCTTTGGTGACTGGTGTGGTGAGATGATCACTCTTGGGTGAGTTTTGGTTGTCAGTTACTAGCAAATTAGTTCCTTTTAATAAGGAAAGACAACATATTAAATTAGGCTTATAATATCTGAACAAGATAGGCCAGTATTGTATCCCAAAACCTCAATGGCTCTTATTATTTCCCTCACTATAATCACTAGCTCTGGTCCAGTGGAAGCAAGATGACTGTTGATTGGTCCATTTCCTCCAAGGCTGGTGGAGGGAGAGGGATGCATGGCTTCTATTTGATTGCTTTATCTTTTTAAAACAAGTTAGAAAAAAGAGAGAGGGTGCAATTACTATACACTTAACTGCTTTATCACTTGTAGGTGAAAATTTATTTATGGAAAAAAAAAAAGAAATCCTTTAGCCAGAGGTGCAGAGTCAGTACATACTCAGACACACTCAAGTTTTAAACCTTCATCATGGTATTGGTTTCCTCTCTTATTTCTGGTCAATTCACTATGAGCATTATCATCTCTTCATTCTGCAAAACCAGAGTGTATGCTAACCACCTCCTTATTGCTTGCTTTCCCTAAGGCAGTGCTGATGCTCAAAGTTGTGTGGTTTCTCACAGTCCTTCAGAGCAGGACCCTTTCTGAGCCCTGAAACTAGCCAAGGCATCCCCAGTACCTTGTGAGCAGGATCCTGATGGTATCTGTATGTGCTGTGGGTAGTAGGACTCATGCCACTTTAATGCCCACTGAGAGCCCTGGCTACTGTTCTCCCAAGTGCTCCCCACTTCCCAATTGGGCAGCACACCTCAGTATGTGGATGGGGAAGAATGCGGCCAGAGTCTGTTTGGCAGCCTCCCCAAAGTTGGAAGAGACAGGTGCTTCTCAACTGCATTTAAAACTATGACTTCTCCCTGCATTTAAAACTATAATTTTCACCCTGGCTGGTGTGGCTCAGTGGACTGAGCACTGGTCTGTGAACCAAAACACCACTTGTTCTAACTCAGTCAGGGCACATTCTTGGGCTGGGGGCCAGTCCCCAGGTCCCCAGTGTGGCGCTCATGAGAGGCAAGCACACATTGATGTTTCCCTCCCTCTCTTTCTCCTTCCCTTTGCCTCTCTAAAGATAAATAAATACAATCTTTAAAAACTACTTTTTATGAAATAACATTTTAAAAGTAGGATTTGTTTTGTTTTTTTAATGTATTGGGGTAACAGAGGTCAATGAGATCATACAGGTGGACTTGGTCCATTCTTTATCTCCATTCGGTCTAAGGAGTTACTTGATTTTCTAAGGATCTGCATTCTCTGTATCAGGAAACACTGAGTGAGTGAGGCCGGGGTAATGTGACTGCTGAGATAGCAGGTCTAAAGTCCTCTTTAGTGATGGTTTAGGCCCACTAGGGGGCAAGGCAGGCTTTATAAAAAACAACTTTCACTAGGTTCTGAGAGTTGAGTGAGCACTTCGGAAAGGAGACCAGTGAGCATGTGAACCAGTCAAATTATAGGCAGCAGAGATGAGGAGAGGGTAACAGTGTCTGTGTAAATTCATCTCTGGTTTTCAGCTCAGTCACTCAGTGTAAACTTGAGAAAGCTGGACTCCATACGTTGTTCATCCACTGTGGGAATGTTTCGCTGTGCCGAGTCACAGGAGTGAGGATGTGACTGGTCATTGTGAGCATGGAAGCTCAACAGAAAACATCTCCATAACCTTTTTTTAAAATTTTTTTAATTGTTATGACTAAATGCCCCAAAACCAACAACCCAGAAGTTATTCCAATACCCCAAATATTCTACCTTTTCATGTATCTCCATGCAAGCAAAAGGAACAACAAATTAAAAACAAAAAAACAAAAAAGAAAACAGAAGAAAAAGTAAAGAAGAAAAATGTAAGAAAAGAGAGAGGACAATAGTAATTTGACCAGCATAGTGTGGTTGGATTGGAGTTGGCTGTGGGCATCAGCAGGATGCACAAGATGTGGACTGAAGTGGGGAGAGGTGGAAATTAAGTCAGACAGACATTACACACAAATTCCATTATACTTCACGCTAATTTTGTTGGAATATTTTTCTATGCAGATAGTGACTGTATGCCTTGGCTTCTCAGACTCCACAGATTTTAAAAAATGGATTAACTTGTGCAATGCACAATACATGCTATCAGCTTTCCTTTATCAGAATATTCATATGACTGAATTCTCAAATTCTCTACCAAACCATGTAATTTCGGAAATACAGGGTCACTCTTCTTAGGATTCTTTAAGGTCATATGTTACACCTGAGACACTAATTCTTCCTGAACCATCATCCACCATTCCTCACACATTATCTTACAAACTTCTTGCATGTAAGTGTTTTAAGAAAAATCAAGAGATTTCTAGGCAAGATGGAGGCATAGGGAGAAACCCTTCACTTCCTCACACAAGCAAAAGAACAATAACAACCAATCTAAAATCAGTAAACAACCAGAAGTGCCAGAAAATTAAACTGCATGGAACTCCAAGAACCATGGAATCAAAGAAACACTGAAACAGAACAACCAGACCTGGAAGGTGGTGGAGGGAGAGAATTCAGAGGGAAAGAAATTGAAGGTGGGTGACCATGAGGGAGGGGCTGGCTATGCCGGGGGAATGCTGCTCAGGTGGGGCTGATTTAAGGAGAAACTGAGACTCAGAGTTGACTGTGAAATACGATGGTTGCCGTGGTGGGAGAAACTCCTAGTCTCACATGAGAGTTTGTTGGAAATTGTGCTAGAGGTGAGCAGGTGAGCTGCACTGTTCCTTCTCTGGCCTCTCCCCCACAGGTAGAGCTGCAGGGCAGCAAGGAGGGTTTCCCTGCCCAGCTGAACACCTATGGCCCTGCCCTCTTACAACTTATCAGGTGTGCCAAGTCAAAGAAATATGGCCTAAATGAAAGAACAGAGGAAAACCTCAGGAGGAGAGCTAAAGAATGGGGAGATAGCCAACCTATCTGATAGAGAATTTAAAGCCCTGGTAATCAATGCTCACAGAACTGATTGAGCTTGTTTGAAAAATAAAAGAACAAATGAAAGATACCCAAAATGAAATACAGCAAAATGCTCATGGAACTGACAGTGACAGGAAGGAAACCAGGACTCAAATCAATGATTTGGAACAAAAGGAAGAAGTAAACATCCAACTGGAACAGAATAAAGAAACAAGAATTCAAAAGAAGAAAAAAAGAGAGACTTTTGAACCTCTTTGACATCTTGAAATGTTTCAATATATGAATTATGGGAGTGCCAGAAGCAGAAGAACAACAGCAAGAAATTGAAAACTTATTTGAACAAATAACAAAGGAAAACACCTCCAATTTGGTGAAGGAAATAGACTTCCAGGAAGTCCAGGAAGCCCAGAGAGTCCCAAAGAAGTTGGACCCAAAGAGGAGCACACCAAGGCACATCATCACTAAGTTACCCAAGATTAAAGATAAGGAGAGAATCTTAAAAGCAGCAAGAGGAAAGAAGACAGTTACCTACAAAGGAGGTCCCATGAGACTATCAGCTGATATCTCAAAAGAAAACTTGAAGGCAAGGAGGGGCTGGGAAGATGTATTCAAAGTCATGAAAGGCAAGGACCTACATTCAAGATTATTCTGTCCAGCAATGATATCATTTAGAATATAAGGGCAGATAAAGTGCTTCCCAGATAAGGTCAAGTTAAAGGAGTTCATTATCACCAAGCCCTTATTATATGAAATGTTGAAGGGACTTATCTAGGAAAAGGAAGATAAAAAATATGAACAGTAAAATGGCAACAAACTCACAACAATCAACAAATGAACCTAAAAAATAAACGAAAGAAAAACAATGAAAACAAAACCTAAGGAAACAACTAGAACAGGAA